GATTTCTGCCGGTGGCTTCTTCCCGAAGTCAGTTTCTTCCTCTCACAAGTAAAAATACAACTTCAGTCCCCGCGTGCTCTTTGTGTCCCCGAAACAGGGACAGGCTCTTTTCAGCGACCCCTGTAAGCAAAGCGCTCTGGATTTCTTCAGCAAAACGCGAATGGGTTCCTGTCATACAGAAACAAAATGTTAGTGCTCTCGTGCGTGTAAATCTAGACTAGCTAGTGCTGCTTTTCTTAGAATTTCGGCTTTTTACTGCTTCTCGGAACCTGTTAGGTGCAGATCTGGTAGGGGGTTTTGTAGCAAGATACTTGTATCCCTGGCCATAGTCACAGTTCCTGGCTTTCATCTATTTGTCTCAAATTACAACATACTTATAATGCAGTTTACCTTTTCATTATCAATATAGCATCTCACAATGACTTAATCCACTTCAACACAATTGTTGGTCAGAATGCGCTCTTGCAAATGATGGATAGTGCTTAATTGCTAATGCTAATTACAATATATACCTTTCACTTACAGACTTCCCATAAGATTTTTGTTAATTTTACAAATTTTGAATTGTGGAATATGCATCCCATTCTTAACACCGGGTGGAAAAAAGGTCAAAACAAGATGTGCTGAAATTCTTCGTAGCAGTGTCTGATACTTGCTCCAAACTAAGATTAATTGAATTCTATAAATCTTTAAAGTCTCAAGAAGTTAATTCTGAAGCTAAAATGTCCAGAGATCAAAGAGAGCTAGGCATCCAAGTGAGGATTTGGGCTTGAGTGCCCGGAGAGGTTGAATCTATCCTGAAATACAAAATTGAATGTTACTGGTAGTAAGATGCCTGGACATACCTATGGAGACAGCAAGTATATATTCTTCATGCTATATACATGGGATATATAAAATTGCTCTGAATATCATGTTCAGAAATATCCCTTATAAATAATAACTGCTTTTCCATTTAAAAAAAAAAAATACTGCATCTTCATTTTCAGAATATGTCAGGCACACCCTATTGCCTTCACAGTGATGTGTCATTGTCAAGATTGAGAGAAATGCTCTATGTTTACGCACACCTATGCTCCTATCTATATCCTCATGACAGAAATCTTCCAAGTCAGTTTATGCACATGAACACGAAATGGAGAACGGTGTTAATAAGTAAAGTTTAATAAATCTTAATGCTTAATATATTTAGTGAATTTACAAATACTAAACGATGACTCAGGCAGCCTTACTGACTTTCTGAAGTCCTGATGTATATTCTCACTAGAATGTTCTTATTTGGAAGACACTCTGAATTTTATCTTATTTATTTTCCACATTAGGGTAACTGTAGTGGTTTAACCCCAGCCAACAACTAAGCCCCACACAGCCGCTCACTCACTCCCCCCCGGTGGGATGGTTCAATAAGTAAAGCGAAAGCTGTGCACACAAGTGAAGGAAAATAAGGAATTCATTCACTGCTTCCCATGGGCAGGCAGGTGTTCAGCCATCTCCAGGAAAGCAGGGCTCCATCACGCGTAACGGTTACTTGCGAAGACAAATGCCATCACTCCAAATGTCCCCCCCTTCCTTCTTCTTCCCCCAGCTTTATATGCTGAGCATGAGGACATCGTATGGCATGGAATATGCCTTTGGTCAGTTGGGGTCAGCTGTCCTGGCTGTGCCCCCTCCCAGCTTCTTGTGCACCCCCAGCCTACTCGCTGGTGGGGTGGGGTGAGAAGCAGAAAAGGCCTTGACTCTGTGTAAGCGCTGCTCAGCAGTAACGAAAACATCCCCGTGTTATCAATCATCAACACTGTTTCCAGCACAAATCCAAAACATAGCCCCATACTAGCTACTAGGAAGAAAATTAACTCTACCCCAGCCAAAACCAGCACATTCTCCACCCCTTATTCTATACCATTTATGTCATGCTCAGGTCCCACACTATCCAATGCATCCTCATTAACCACCACCACCCTTCCCTCCTTTGATATAATACACAGATATCATTCCCCTAGTCTGTGGGTCACCCCTGTAAAATGTCCACAAATGTCCGCAAAATGTCCACTGAGTTCATTCAGTCCATGACTTTGAGCTCCACCTGGTATGGTGGTCACTCAGGACAGGAGAGGTGGTGTGTTGCGTGGAGTTACTGGGCACAAAAGCCAGCTCAGGTCGGGTCACTGCTGCACTTGAACTGCTTCTTGTAAGGCTTGTCCTCCACTGGTTCAGGTGGTTCCTGCTATAGTAATTCCTACAACATGCAACTCATACTAGCTACTATGAAGATAATGAACTCTATCCCAGCCAAAACCAGCACAGTAACATAAGAAGAGATGTCTTGTTGTTGAAAGCATGTAGTGCTGGTAACAGAACAAAATCCAGCTGCAGGTGTTATATGTTAGCTAGGAGTTCCTCTTTCATGACTTCAGCGTGGGCCACTTGCACGTGTTGGGTTGCAGTATCAAAAGTTATCAATTTATTTTAAAATCCTCTTCAAA